ACTATCTTCCCCTAGACTACAGCAGTAAGCTCCCTCTCTATTCCACCATCTTGGTGCCTCCCTCCATGAACTGTTACTTTTCTATTTGTAAAATACCTAGAATTTAGTCTAGTGGTAATTAATTACTCTGTAGTCTATTTCCTTCTTTTCTCAGCTGGAAGAAACAATGCTGGTCACAAATTACATGTAGTAGAAATAAAGACAATTAACATTCATGAAGTCTAAGTGATCTTTTGTAATAATTTTCAAATTTGTTTCCAAATTTTACTAGAGTCATTGAGAAAGGAGATAGTTTATAATGAATGTCGAACCTTATACATTTCTGTTGTGTAGAAATGAGTAGAGAGTGTCCAGAGTCAACAGAGAAGGGGAAGAAGATTGAAGGGAGATGAATAACAAGCAGCAAATCAATCCCCAAGTACTCGGGATTTTTTTTCTTTTTTCTTTTTCTATTTAATAAATGTGAATTTACAAAGTGCAACTTTTGTATTGTTGTGGCCCCCCCACAACCTCCCTCCCTCCCACTGCCCTCCCCTCTCCCACTCCCTCTCCCATCCCGCCCTTCACTGAGTTTCATTTTCAATTACCTTCATATACAGAAGATCAACTTAGTATATACTAAGCAAGGATTTCAACAGGCTGCACTCACAACCACACAAGGTATAGGGTATTGTTCGACTAGTAGTGTTGTTTTTAAGTTTCATAGTAAAACACATTAAGGACAGAGATCCTACGTGGGGAGCCTGTACTCATTGACTCCCGTTGTTGATTTAACAATTGGCACTCTTATTTATGACATCAGCAATCACCCGAGGCTCTTGCCATGAGCTGTTTAGGCTATGGAAGCCGCTTGAGTTCACCAACTCTGAACTTGTTTAGTCAAGGCCGTATCACAGTGGAGGTTCCTTCCTCCCTTCAGAGAAAGGCGCCTCCCTTGATGGCCTGTTCCTTCCACTGGGGTCTTGTTCACCAGGATCTTTCATTTAGGTTGTTTTTGCCACCGTGTCATGGCTTTCCATGCCTGTGAGACTCTCATGGGCCTTTTAGCCAGATCCGAATGCCTCAAGGGTTGATTCTGAGGCCGGAGTGCTGTTTGGGGCGTTTGCCATTCTATGAGTCTGCTGTGTGTCCTGCTTCCCCCCAGGATCATTCTCTCCCTTTTAATTCTATCCTTATTTGCATACACTGGTCTTATTTGTGACTTCTCTTCAACACTTACCCTATCTTTTTGATCAGTTATGTACTTATACTTATCACTTTACCAAGTGAGCTGGCATTGGTACATGCCTCCTTGATAAGATTGAGTTGAAATCCCCTGGCACATTTCTAGCTCTACCATTGGAGGTAAGTCCGAGTGAGCATGTGCCAACCTATATATCTCCTCCCTCTCTTATTCCCACTCCTATTTAACAGAGATCACTTTTCTGTTAATTTTAAACGCCTAAGAATAATGGTGTATTGATTACAGAGTTCAGCCAGTGGCATTAAGTAGAACAAACAGAGCAACAACACAACAACAAAAAATACTAAAAGGAATAAAATAGTAAGTTGTTCCTCAACAGTCTAGACAAGGGCTGATCATGTCATTGTCTCTCATAGTGTCCATTTCACTTCAATGGTTTCCTTTTAGATGCTGGTTTAGTTGCCATCGATCAGGGAGAACATATGATATTTATCCTTTTTGGACTGGCTTATTTCACTCAGCATGATATTTTCCAGATTCCTCCATTTTGTTGCAAATGACCTTATTACATTGTTTTTTTACTGCTGTATAGTGTTCCATAGAGTACATATCCCATAATTTCTTTATCCAGTCATCTGTTGATGGACATTTAGGTTGATTCCATGTCTTAGCTATTGTGAATTGAGCTGCAACAAATATTGAGGTGTAAATGGATCTTTTTTTCCCCTTTAATTCCATTTGGGTAAATTCCAAGGAGTGGGATGGCTGGGTACTGTGGTAGGACTATATACAGGTTTCTGAGGACTCTCCAAACTGTCTTCCATAGTGGCTTTACCAGCTTGCATTCCCACCAACAGTGGATTAGTGTCCCTTTTTCCCCACACCCTTGCCAGCATCTGTTGTTGGTTGATTTCTGTATGTAAGCCATTCTAACCGGAGTGAGGTGAAACCTCACTGTGGTTTTGATTTGCATTTCCCTGATGGCTAGGGATCCTGAACATTTTTTCATGTGTCTGTTGGCCATTTGGATTTCCTCTTTTGAAAAATGTCTGTTAAGGTCCTTGGCCCATTTTTTATTGGGTTGTTTGTTTTGATTTTGTGGTGTTTTTTGATCATTTTATAAATTCTAGTTGTTAATCCTTTATCTGTTGTGTAGTTTGTGAATCACGTCTCCCATTCTGTTGGTTGCCTCTTCACTTTCCTGTTTCCTTTGCTGTAAAGAAACTTTTCAATTTGAGGTAATACCATTTGTTTATTTTATCTTTGATTACCTGTGCCTCTGGGGTCTTCTCCAGAAATTCTTCGCCAGTTCCAATGTCTTGAAGGGTTTCCCCTATGCTCTCAATTAGTTTCATGGTATTGTGGCATATCTCTAGTTCTTTGATCCATGTTGAGTGGATTTTTGTATAAGGTGTAAGATAGGGGTCTTGCTTCATACTTCGACATATGGACATCGAGTTTTCCCAGCACCATTTGTTGAAGAGGCTGTCCTTGTTCCAGGGGTTGGTTTTAGGTCCTTTGTCGAATATGAGTTGGTTATAGATGTTTGGATTGATCTCTGGTGTTTCTATTCTGTTCCATTGGTCTATCCATCTGTTTTTGTACCAGTACCAGGCTGTTCTGATTATAACTGCCCTGTAGTATGTCTTGAAGTCTGGAATTGTGATGCCTACGGCTTTGTTTTTATTGTAAAGGATTGCTTTAGCTATTTGCGGTCTCCTGTTTCTCCATATGAATTTCAGCATAATTTTTTCTAGATCTGAGAAGAATGTCTTCGATATTTTGATTGGTATTGCATTGAACTTGTAAATTGCTTTTGGGAGAATGGACATTTTGATGATACTGATTCTCCCAATCCATGAGCATGGCAGGTTTTTCCATTTTTTTGTGTTGTCTTCTATTTCTTTCTTTAGTGTTTTATAATTTTCATCACAGAGGTCTTTGACATCCTTGGATAAATTTATTCCAAGGTACTTTGTTGTTTTTGTGGCTACTATGAATGGGATTGATCTTAGAAGTTCTTCCTCGGCCACGGCATTGTCTGTGTATACAAAGGCTGTTGATTTCTAAGCATTGACTTTGTATCCTGCTACTTTACCAAATTCTTCTATGAGTTCCAATAGTCTCTTATAGGAATTTATTGGGTCCCCTATATATAGTATCATGTCATCTGCAAATAGGGATAGTTTAACTTCCTCCTTTCCCATTTGTATCCCTTTAATTTCTTTTTCTTGCCTGATGGCCCTGGCTAACACATCTAGGACTATATTGAATAGCAATGGTGAGAGTGGGCATCCTTGTCTGGTGCCAGTTTTCAATGGAAATGCCTCCAACTTTTCCTCATTCAGTATGATGCTGGCCATTGGTTTATCATAGACTGCCTTAATTGTGTTGAAGAATGTTCCTTCTAACCCCAATTTGCTTAGGGTTTTCATCATGAAAGGGTGTTGTATTTTGTCAAATGCTTTCTCTGCATTTATTGAGATAATGTGATGTATTACATTGATTGACTTTTGAATATTGAACCATCCCTGCATACCAGGGATAAATCCCACTTGGTTCGGGTGAATGATCTTTCTGATGTGCAGTTGGATTCTGTTTGCCAGAATTTTGTTAAGTATTTTTGCATCTATGTTCATCAGTGAGATAGGTCTGAAGTTTTCTTTCTCTGTTGTGTCTTTTCCGGGCTTAGGAATTAAGGTGATGCTGGCTTCATAGAAAGAATTTGGGAGGATTCCCTCCCTTTCAATTGTTTTGAATAATTTGAGAAGAACCGGGGTTAGTTGTTCTTTAACTGTCTGGTAGAATTTGGTGGTGAAGCCATCCGGTCCTGGGCTCTTCTTTTTCGGCAGTGCGTTTATTACTGATTCAATTTCTTCCATGGTTATGGGTCTGTTTAGATTTTCTATATCTTCATGGCTCAGTTTAGGAAGGTTGTATGTGTCCAGGAATCTATCCATTTCCCCCAGGTTCCCCAATTTGTTAGCATACATCTCTTTGTAGTGGTTTCTGATGATTCTTTTTATTTCTGTTGTGTCTGTTGTTACATTTCCATTACTATTTTTTATTTTACTGATTTGGGTCTTCTCTCTCCTTTTTTTGGTTAGTTGGGCCAATGGTGTGTTGATTTTGTTTATTTTTTCAAAGAACCAGCTCCTGGTTTTGTTGATCTTTTGTATTTTTTTGTTTGTTTGTTTGTTTGTTTCAATTCTGTTTATTTCTTCTCTAATCTTTAGTATTTCTTTCCTCCATCTGGATTTGAGCTTGATTTGCTGCTGTTTTTCTAAATCCTTGAGGTGCATGGAGAGTTCATTTGCTTGGTTCCTTTCCAGCTTCTTGATGTAGGCACCAATTGCTATAAACTTTCTTCTTAGCACTGCTTTTGCTGTGTCCCACAGGTTTTGATAGGTTGTGTTATCTTTTTTATTTGTTTCTAGAAATCTTTTGATTTCACTTTTGATTTCTTCGATGACCCACTGTTCATTCAGGATCATGTTGTCCATTCTCCATATGTTTGCATATAGTGTAGAAATTCTTGGATTGTTGATTTTGAGTTTCACTGTGCTATGGTCTGAGAAGATGCATGGCATAGTTTCAATTTTTTTGAATTTGTTGAGGCTCTCTTTATGCCCTAGCATATGGTCAATCCTAGAGAATGTTCCATGAAGTACTGGGAATTATACAAAGATATGGGCAGTTGTATAAAATAAAGCAACACAGCATTACAAATTGCTTAGTGAGCCAAATAGGACATGCTCTGAAAGCAAAGGCAAGAAACGTACCCATATTTTCACATTTCCAAAAGCAATCCTCTTACCTGAAAGTTCTCTTTGATCCTTTCAGGATTAAAGCTTTTAGGAATGACAACCACCCCTCGCTGAACGTTGAAACGCAAAACAATTTGGGCTGCAGTCTTCTTGTACTTTTTGCCCAGTGAGTTCAGCAGTGTGTCCTTTAACAAAGGCGGGAGAGATGTATTCACCCTTTCAAAAAATCAAGACATAAATCACATTTAGGCAGAGAGATGACAACCAAGTGTTAACCAAACCTCCTCCTCCTCTGTTACCTGTCTCCTCTTTATCTGGTGACCCACCAGGACACTGCAGGTCACTTGTAATCAGTTTCTCTAAGTGACAGAATCCCTTGAATGAAGAGTTGCTCTTTGTATGAGAAGATCAAGGAAGAAAGTTTATGAAGATGCCTCTTCCGGAGGGTAAGTAATAATAGTGTTCTGATGAGTCTTAGAGAGACAGCTAAAGATGACACATAGGGAAAGGCAAAAAGACTGAAGTGGAAGAACAGAATGACAATCAGAATTGTCTTGGAATGGATACATTTCTACTTAAATTAGTGGAACACATCACAGTAGAAGTGTCAACACTGGGGAGCAACACTGTGGTGTAGTAGGCTAAGCCTCTGCCTGTGGCACTGGCATCCCACGTGGACACCAGTTAGTGTCTTGGCTGCTCCTCTTCTCATACAGCTCATACAGTATATGGCGTGGAAAAGCAGTGGATAATGGCCCAAGTGCTTGGGCCCCTGTACCCACTTGGGAGACCCAGAAGAAGCTCTTGGGTCCTGGCTTCAGATCAGCACAGCTCTGGCTGTTTTGTTCATTTGGTAAGTGAACCAGCAGATGGAGACCTCTCTCTGTCTCTCCCTCTGTCTGCTACTCTATCTCTCAAATAAACAAATCTTTAAAGAGTGTCAACATTCAATAAAAAGAACAAAAAATTCAAGTATTTCATAATGTGACTATAAAAACTCTGCCAAATAACAACTGAATGAATATTTATTGGGCCTTTTCAATATACCAGGCACTTATAATTCCATAGATGTTAGATATTCAATTCTTTTTTTTTTTTTTTTTTGACAAGCAGAGTGGACAGTGAGAGAGAGAGACAGAGAGAAAGGTCTTCCTTCCATTGGTTCACCCCCCCAAATGGCTGCTACAGCCGGCGCACTGCACCAGGTGCTTCCTCCTGGTCTCCCATGTGGGTGCTGGGCCCAAGCACTGGGCCATCCTCCACTGCACTCCCGGGCCACAGCAGAGAGCTGGACTGGAAGAGGGGCAACCAGGACAGAATCCGGCACCCCGACCGGGACTAGAACCCGGTGTGCCGGCGCCACAAGGCGGAGGATTAGCCTAGTGAGCTGCGGCGCCGGCCAGATAATCAATTCTTGCACATTGCATGGAGATGGGTGTTATTAGCTCTAACATATGTAAGACAATGCCTTGAAGAGATCGTTACTTTTTAAACTCATAAAGTCTCAGGCTTTCAATTGTGTTAATATTTCAGTGACATATTAGCTATTTCAAAGTTACCAGAAGAGGTATATTTATTGCTCAATAACTCTTTACAGGTGGACTGTTTAGGACAATGGGACATAATAGATTAAGATAACATGGCCAAATGGAATGATTCCAATAAAATAATTGACATTAGTTTCATTCTGTACACTTAAGGACTTACTTCCTGAAGAGACATGCAGCATTACTTACCAGTCTGGATTCCTAGCGGTCCCCAAGGGACTATATGCAACAATAACAATGTCATGTTGTTGGCAAAATTTCAGGAGTTTTGGCTGGGTGAAATATGGATGGCATTCAACCTACATGGTTGCAATGGAAAACAGAGGCAGCGCAAAATTAGCTTCTTGTAATCAAATGCATTTTACGTAATGTTTTTAAAAGTTCGTCAGTAAAATCTACTTTTAAAAAAATCCACTATTTGAAAAATATTAATTTTATTATTTCTTTAAAAGGCAGAGTTACAGAGAGAGAGAGAGAGAGTGAGTGAGAAAAAGAGAGGGGGCTGGTGCTATAGCATAGCAGGTTAAGCTGCTGCCTGCAGCACTGGCATCCCTGATGGGTGCAGGTTTGAGTGCTGGCTGCTCCACTTCCTATCCAGTTCCCTGCTAATGCACCTGCGAAAGCAGCATAGGATGGCCCAAGTGCTGTGGTCCCTGTACCCACGTGGGAGTCCCAGAAGAATCTCCTGGCTCCTGCCTTCAGCAGGATGGAAGACCTCTCTCTCTGTCCCTTTCTCTAACTCTGATTTTTAAAATAAACCTTTTTTTTTTTTTTTTTTTTTTTTTGACAGGCAGAGTTAGAGAGAGAGACAGAGAGAAAGGTCTTCCTTGTGTTGGTTCAACCCCCAAATGGTTACTACGGCTGGTGTACTGCGCCGATCTGAAGCCAGGAGCCAGGTGCTTCCTCCTGGTCTCCCATGCAGGTGCAGGGCCCAAGTACTTGGGCCATCTTCCACTGCCCTCCCGGGCCACAGCAGAGAGCTGGAATGTTAGAGGAGCAACTGGGACAGAATCCAGTGCCCCAATCGGGACTAGAACCTGGGGTGCTGGTGCCACAGGCAGAGGATTAGCCAAGTGAGCCGCGGCACTGGCTATAAAATAAATCTTAAAAAAAAAAAGAGAAAGAAAAATAAATAGATCTTTCATCTGCTGGTTCACTACCCCAAATGGCCACAGCAGCCAGTTCCGAACTAGGGCGAAGTCAGGAGCCTGGAGCTTCATTTGGTTCTCCCACATGAGTGCAGGGGCCCAAGTACTTGGGCCATCTTCTGCTGCTTTCCCAGGTGCATTAGCAGGGAGTGGGATTGAACTGGCACCTATAGGGAATGTCAGCATCACAGGTGGTGGCTTAATCTACTATACCACAACACCAGCTTCCAAATCCACTTTAATAACAACATATTCACCCCATACTATATTTTACATTTTGGATCTAGGTCTTTCTCCTTAATAGCACGTTCATTTTTCTTTTTTTTTTTTTTCCAAAATGATTCAGGAATATCTGCTGTTTTTATATGTTTAACATTCCCCTAATTTTTCAAATATTTCCATTTTTCCCCCTTATAAACAATGCTGTGATAAACACATACCTAAATCCATGGGGGTGAACTGAGATACTTTAATTAAAATAGACTCCTAAAAACGAAAGCCTGTGAGCTTTGTTAAGACTGTTGATAGGTATTGCCACATTGCTTTCCAGTCAGACTGAGTCAATTTGCATTCACTGGCACAACATCACTTGCTTATATGCAGCATTATAGTAAATATAAAACATAAACTATGCTAATTTAATATGCAATGCAGAATCACACTTAAATTTACAATTCTGTAATAAACAGTGAGCTAAGTATTTTTCATATATCAAGACCCTTTAAAAAGTAGGTGGAAAAATAGAATTAAAGGTAAGTTTATTTTTCTGCAAAAAAAATCATGAAATCCATGCATGATTTTTTCATAATAGGCGTTTTCCATGAACTTCTGAAGTACCTTCACATTGGCTAGTTTTGTGAATTCTGTCTTTCACGAATTTCTCTTCATTTCCTTTGTACATTGTTTTGTTGAGTATTAATGTTTTTATTGATTATTTCCACTGATTTTAATTAGGTTTTTAATTCATAAGAATGTAAAACCCCTTTTCTATTAAATTTCTGAAAATGTTATTATTTACTTTTCTTTGCTCTTTAATTCTTTCTAGATGTTTATACTATTAAACTATACTATTGTTTTTGTGATCTTTCTATGGTTTTTATCACTCTAGAAGCTAACACTCTTTTCTTGTATTAAAATCACTATCTTATTTAACTACTTATCAGAAGGGACATAAACTTCCAAGTGTGATATGAGGTAACTATCTACATTTGTTTCTAAATATACTCATTTTCCTCATACTAGTTACTAAAAAAAATCTCTGTGCCATCAGTTTGTATTACTTTATTTTATATTAAGTTTTATTACATTGGAGTCTGTTTCTAAGGTGCTTGTTGATCTCCATTTACTTGTATATCATTTCCTAGACCAGCTTTGCACTATTTTAAACATTCTATGTTATGTTGCAATATTTGGCAGGTCTCATTCCCTCTCATTAAGTTTTCTTCTTCAAAAAGTTTTTGGTTCTTTTTGTGTGATTTGAACTTTCAAAACTTTTTTGTTAGGTGACATAAATTGAGAGAGGTCAAAAGGTGTCCCCAGAGTCCTGTGATGAGGTTGTTGTGGAGCCACAAGACCTCCCGACCCCTGGTCCAGGCCTGCTCTCTTAGTAAACGCTGCCCTGGGTCCCCTCCACCCGCGGTAGAAACTGAAGCTGTACCTGGTTGCAGACGGGCTTGTGCTTGAGTCCTGGTTTGTTCAGGAGGAGCTCCAGCTGCCTGCGGTTAAAGTTGGACACCCCGAGGGATTTCACCAGGCCAGCGTCTTTGCAAGCTTCCAAAGCCTATAAGAGACAACAGGTCAAGAAAGAGGCCTCACAGGAAGCCAAATTAAATGTTTAGGGGTGGGGAGAGGCAGCATTTCATGATGGAATGAATTTGTGAAATACTGCATCTCATACTGTCCCCTTATATTTTTGCAATTTATTTCAGTACATCAATAAAATCCTATTTCTTGAAATTTGTTAAGCTTTATTTATAGCATAGTAATCGATCAGCTTTTATAAATGTTTCAGTGTGTGTGAAAAACATACACTGTTCTATTCAGATGCAAAACTGTCTTTTTCTGTCTGTTCTCTTTCACAAGTATGTTTGTATATATAATAAGCACAGATATATATAATATACAACATTAACTTCTTTGTAAGTGAAAAAATGTCAGATATCTATCTTTATAATGCTAGATTTATCAATGTTTTCCTTTATTCCAAAGGGAAAATATATAGTCACATAGTTATATAAACATGAATAATAAAAATAAATTTTCTTACTTGAATGGCAGAGAGACAGACAAATTATGAATGAGTTCTGCCACTGGTTTACTCCCTAGATGCCTGAAAGAACCAAGGCTAGGCTGTGACCAGAGTCAGGACCCAGGAATGCTACCCAGGTTTCCTACTTGGGTGGTAAAACTCAATTACCTGAGCCATTACCAGGGGCTCCTATGTTCAGCATTGGTGGAAACTGAAATTGGAAGCTAGAGCTGGCAGCTGAGCCCAGGTAATATCATTTGGGGCATGGGCATCTTAACAGCAGGGCTAAATGCTTATACCCCTGTTTCTGTCATCTTCATTTCCATTTCAGTTTATTCCACTTTTTCTAAAAAGATTTATTTATTTATTTGAAAGGCAGAGCTAGAGAGAGGCAGAGGCAGAGGCAGAGAGAGATATCTTCCATCCACTGATTCACTCCCCAAATGGCTGCAATGGCCAGAGCTGTATCCTACTTTTTTAATGTTCCTTTTTAACTTTTTTTGTTATTTTCAAAAGGTTTGTGTGTGTGTGAATATAAAATATATATGTATATATATATACACATTTATATACACTATTTATACTTCAGTATATACTGACTAATACGGGTAGGAATTTACCATGTTCACACACCTTGATCTACCCCTAAAATCTGTGATGTTAATGGCACATAGAATCTAAGTATACTTTATTATGGGTAACTTTCCTCTTGTTATTTGAATTAAATATTTTTATAGGTAATACTTTATTAGTTCAATTTGATGACTTTTACTTTACACAAATTTGGGAGCAACTCTTAGAATTTTGCCTTTTTTTTTTTTTTTTTGATAGGCAGAGTTAGTGAGTGAGAGACAGAGATAAAGGTTTTCCTTCCGTTGGTTCATCCCCCAAATGGCTGCTACGGCCGGCACGCTGCACCAATCCCAAGCCAGAAGCCAGGGCACTTCTTCCTGGTCTCCCATGCGGTGCAGGGCCCAAGCACCTGGGCCATCCTCCACTGCCTTCCTGGGCCACAGCAGAGAGCTGGAATGGAAGAGGAGCAACTGGGACAGAATCCGGCGCCCCAACCGGGACTAGAACCCAGGGTGCCAACACTGCAGGTGGAGGATTAGCCAAGTAAGCCACAGTGCTGGCCAGATTTTTGCTCTTCTAACTTAGATTATCATTTCTAGGGATTTCAATGTGGGTCTTTCTGTGCCAAAATGTCTATAGTACAACCACTCACACTCAGCTAATAATATGATATCACTGAGTGTGAATTATAAAGAGAACTGTACAATCAGTTCTTACAACCTGGTGTGAGCTTGGAAAGATTCTCCCTCCCCTCTACATTACCTTGGCACTTCTGCTAAAATTCAACTGACCACAAATATTTATGACCACATATTTGACTTCTCTATTGTATTCCATTGATCTAGACGTCCATCTATATACTTCTATGGCATATCATGATTGTTATAGTTGTGCACCAATTCTCAAAACTAGTATAAGTGTTCCAAACTTCTGTCTTTTTCAAACTTGCTTTGACCATTATAAGCTATGTGCATTTCTGTATTTAGAATTAGATTTCCATTTTCGTTGGGATTTTGACTAGGATTACATTAACTCTATAGATAAATTTATCAAGACTGACTTTGTTAATCAGATTAAGGGACATGGTATATCTATCCATTCATTTGGATCTTTGGCTTATCTCAGTAATATGATGTTTTTACTGTATAGCTCATACAGATTTTATCAACCTCTAAATATTTAATATTTTTCTGCTAAAATTGAACTTCAAAGTGTGTTGATAATATATGGATTACAGATAAAATACATTTCATTTCTTTTTCATCTTATGAGTTACATGTATACTTCTTGCTATTTAAATATTTGGTGATTTATAAAACAACCTTTTATTACTGATTTCAAATTATATTCCAATTGTATCAGAGAGAATACTTTGCATAATTAGAAAAATTTAAAATTCCTTGAGATTTGCTCTATATGCTCTGAAATTTTTTTTTTTTTTTTTTTTTTAACCATAGATTCCACTTTATTTTTCCAGAGGATAACTTTTCTTCAGCCCTTAAAGATTACACTCCTTACATGGGCTTTGGTGGAGGCCGTGGGGCAGCACCAGCAGGTCTAAATCGCGGAGGTGGCGTCCGGTCCTTGCGGGCTTCACGAGATCGATTTCTGACCACCTTGCTGTGAATGGCACAGCTCACACAATAGTGCAGCTTCACACACAGCTTGGGAAGCACACGGGCATCGAAAACGCTCGCTTCGGATATGTCCCTGACGGCGGCGGCCTCCACTACGTTGCGGATTACGAACTTCTTAATGGCCTTGTCCTTGGGCACGCAGCTAGCACAGTTAGTGCAGCGAATAGGCTGCACGTGGCCGCGGCCCTTTTTCGCACGGCCGTTGTTCCTTTTTTTCTTTGTCATCTCGGAACCAAGGACCTGAAAGAGGATCCTGAAATCTTTGTTGATATTAAAATAGTCACCCCAGCTTTGTTTAGATCACTGTTAGATCACTGTTAGATTAATACATTTTTCTCTCCTTTTAGGAAAACATTTTCCTTTTATCTTGTTTGATTCTTTTTATTTAAAATGAGCTAATAATATATAATATGTAGTGAAATATGGTTTTTATCTATTCTGACAACCTCTGCCTTTTAATTGGGGTACTTAGACAAATTTACATTTTCTGTGATTGTTGGTGTCACTGAGTTTAAATCTGCAATCTTAGAGCTGCCCTGTCATTTTTGACTGTGGACCTATCTTCTCCTGGGGATACTGCTACCTTACCAGGTAGTTCCTTCCAGGCAGACCGATCAGCAACACTGAGGTCAGAAGTGAGCACGTGGTCTCCTGGGTGTAGAGCCCAGCACCTGAAAATCCACTTCTTTACACAGATAAGTCGTCAACTGTTACCCACAGGGGGAGTAAATAAGAGATATTCATCACAGTGTGACTTCCCAGGCTCTGGAATGTGGAATGGGAGTGACTGGAAACAAATGACTGAGGTCAGTGACTTGTGTTTTTCTCAGCTTCCCGAATCGCTGGAACACTGCTGCTCTGATGTGATTTCTGAAGACTTCTCACCGTGAGTCCTCAGTCTGTACCTGTGTTTGGAGCAGGCAATACTTGCCCCCGGGCTATGGCAGGGGAGAACGAAGTGGAGAAAGAGCTTCAGTAGCTCCTCTCCCATACTTATGACGAATGTCCTTTACTGCTCCTTGGGTTGCCTCCTATTCCAGGTCAAAGCTGTAAAACTACCTCACAAGCTTCCAAACTTCCCTCCCCACTATGAATCCATAAGTTTCTCCTTGTTTTCCCACAGTTTCCACTCTGTGATCTTGGAGAGGAGTCAGCAGTTGGCTCAGAACTGGATCCAGAATTATTCCAAGTCACTCATACATCCTCTTGTTTTAAAGGTTTTCTTTTAGACATCTGGTTATTGGCTCTTTAAAATTCAATTTAAAAAATTGATCTTAAAACATATTTCTACATTTTCTTTTGCATTTCACACCCTCCTCCTCCTTTTCCTTGTAATTTTTGTCTTCCAGTAAAACAAAAGTAAGAATTATTCAGCTCCAGGAAGTAGAGATTTCATGCATCTGTACATATTGTTTGAAACACATGCCCTGTTAGTATAAATTTGACAACATCAACCAGATCACTGTTTACAATAAACTGTTCTAAAATAAAAGCCCACTTGAACTTACCTCCCATGTGGCACATAGATTTGTCTTGTGGTATAACCACTTGCCATTCTCATCTCTGGGATAGATTTCATCTCCAGGCTGCAAAACAGAACAGTGTAATTATTTCATTTATATCTTTGCCAGGGACCATGTGGGTGCCATCTCAGCAATCTCCTCAGAAGAGAGACAGGAACATCATGGCTGCGTCCCTTGGAAGGCTGAGGATGATGGGATCTGTTCTCTTGGGCCTTAGATTGTGGGAAGGCTCCCACCTTGAAAGCCTTGGAAGTCTTGTTCCAGGATAATGGACAAGGGTCTGTTTATCACACTAGATGTTCTCCTCTGCCTTGGGAGAGATAGCCTGAAGCATACTGCCAATAAACAAAACTGTGCTGATGTGAGCAAACAGACTTTTGTTGATGCAGCAAGACTGAATGTTCTGGAGGGAATAAAAGCTGCCAGGAGAGACAAAGAGACGTTCCTTCTCTGCTCAGGGAGAAGCTTCCTCGGCCCCTCATTTTTCCATAATCTCTTGTCTTAATTCACTGCATTCCATCCCCCTTTCACCCTGGAAGAGTTGTTGCACAGGTCACAGGACATCTGGGAACTAAATAATGGAAATGGAGGGGGCTGCTGTTATAGTATGCAAGGTTGAGCCACTACTTGTGGTGCTGGCATCCATATTGGAGTTGTGGCTACTCTGAATCCAACCCAGCAAACCTGCTAATACAAATGAGAAGGCATCAGAGGATGGCCAAGCACTTGGGTAGCTGCTACACTGTGGGAGACCAGAGTTCCTGGCTCCTGGCTTTGGCCTGGAGCTCACCTGTATGTTCTCTCTTTCTATGAATTCTCACTTGTACTAAGAATTTAGGCTTAGTGTGTTGACAGTCATTTTGCAATCCACAAACAAGAAGTTCTGAGAAGCCAACCAGAAGACAGAAACAGAGAAAGGGCCAGAAATACAGACATAGTTTGCACTTTGGGATCAAGCTGTACCTGAATTAGACACTCCTCAGATTTCTTCATGCCCCTGTTTAACTAAAGCCAATTTCATTTTGACCTCTGTCATTTATAATCAGAGTTATGACTAATTCAGATGTCTTCAAGTATTGCAAATAATGTACCTAAAAATGCAGAAGTGGCTAAGGATTGTGATCAGTGAGGATGTTTCTGTCTCGAGCCGAGATGTGGCTATTTCTGCTATACAATAACATGACATAAATTATTGCCCTGTTGTGTCCTAAGACTCAGCCAATGAACTTGCTAAGGCTGCGGCTTTAGCATATTAGTAGAAAAACACTGGGTTAGTTGACCAATTTTGTAGCCTTTAGTCAGATAGTGTAAGAAAGATAAATGTATTTATTGCTACTGGACTTGTCAGATGAGAGATCAGATGATGCTTTGCTAAAATGGGTTCTGTATGCTTTGGGATGCACTGTAAGAAAGTAAAAAGTGAGATCTGAGCTTTGCAGAGTTAGAAAAATCAGTGTCATCCAAGGCAGGATTGTAAACGGCCTAGTGGGAAATGAAAGATTGGTGCTGGACAAGTCCCTGGATGGCTCTTCTCCCTTTCATACCTGTAGTTCTCAAGAGTGATTGCAGAGTGTACTGGGGATGCAACATTTTAAGATAAACAGAAATATTTAGAATAGCCCCACGTCTTTTCTTGTCCCTCCCCAAACAGGATGTTCTATATATACCCTAGGGATATACCCTATATCCCCTGTATACCCTAGAGATAAACAAACCAACAAACTAAAATCCATAATGGGTTTCCTTGGAATTCCTCATCTGCATCCAATGTATATGCACAGATGAGACTCCATTCACCTTGGGCACTTTCCTGAGCCTGCGAAGTCGCTTGCATGAATCCTGGGCTTCTGTTGTCCCTTGCTGCCTGCCTGTACTTATTAAGTTGTTCACTTAACTTGTCATGTGAGCATTCTATCTCTCTGGATTCATGCAAGTGGTAGAAACTACAGCCCAAGATGAAGTAGGATATTTAAATAACCATTGCACAGTGAACCTGCCTAAGTAGTCAGTACACACTGAAGTTGATTTGTGATTGGATATTAGGTGAATAATAGTTCTCAAGTTCCATCTGAAGGCAAGATTGTAGGCCACAGATGCTCTGCCCGACATAGGTGCACCATCCAAGGGGATGCAACATGGGTGCAAGGAGAACATTACCTGTGCCTGCTTGTTTTGTATTATTTCAAATGAGACCAAAAGGGATGCCACTAAGCTGAGGCCTGTGCAGATGGGCAAAACCAGCAGGTACTATATGAAGAGACAAAAATCCATAGGCCAAGGAATAGATGTAAAAAATGGGACCATGTAAGATTTCTAGTTTTTATCATTCATGAAGCAGACTGAATGCGAATTTACTGAAAGCATGTAAAGATTTTAAGGGATGTTGTCTTATCTGTGAAACCACTATCTAACAAAAGCTTGTGGTTATTAAGGCCATTGTGAAGTCTTCAAATCTATATTTCTATGAAATGCAAAAGCAACATTCAACAAAGAGCCAGCTGATAGAATGGGAGAAAATATTTGCAAACTACACAACTGATAGAGGGTTAACATCCAGAATCTATAAAGAGCTCAAGAAAGTCAACAAAAGAAACAGTCTAGGTAAGAAATGGGCAAAGAACTTCAAAAGGCATTTTTCAAGAGGGGAAATTCAAATGGCCAACAGCCACTTGAGAAAATGGATGCTAAGGAGCACTAGCCATCAGGGGAAGGCAAATCAAAACAACAATGTGGTTTCACCTCACTCCAGTTAGAATGACTCTCATATAGAAATCAACAAATGACAAATGGTGGCAAGGATGTGGGGAAAAATGTACCCTGGTCCACTGTGGGTGGGAATGTAAACTTGTGTAGCCACTGTAGAAGACAGTAAGGAAACATCTCAGAAATCTGAATGTAGACCTGCCATTTGATCCAGCAATCCCACTCCTGGGAATTTACTAAAACCAAAAGAAATCAGCATAGGAAAATTATCTGTACCCCTATGCTCATTGCAGTACAATCCACAATAGCTAAGATATGGAATCAACCTAGATTTCTATCAATTGTTGACTGGATAAAGAAATTATGCTACGAATACACTATGGAGTACTACTCAGTTGTAAAAAAATTAAATACTATCTTTTGCAACAAGATGGACACAATTGGAAACCATTTTACTTAGTGAAATAAGCCAGTCCCAAAAAGACAGATATCATATATTTTCCTTGATCCAAGGCAATAGAGTACCTGAAATGTAATATGCTGGAGTGAAATAGACATTCTGAGATTCGATGATTGTTTACAGCTCCTGTCTCTTCCATTGAGGAACAGTACGTCTTTTTGTTAATATATTTGTTGAACTCTTTTACTTAGTGTAGGGTTAACTACAATGATTAAGTAAACTGAAAATAGATCTTTGTAAAAATTAAGAATGGGAATATGTGAGGAATGAGGAGGGAGGGTTGGAGCATGGGTGGGAGGGAGGGTGGGGAGTGTCACTTCATTCCCAAATCTGTGTATATGAAATACATGAAACTTGCATAACTTAATTAAATTTTTTTAGAAAAGAAACCACACTGAATTTAGAATCAAGAAACTTGGGGTCCAGAGCTAAGTCTGCTAACATAATCTTTTTTGGCATTTTTCAGGCTCTGAACCATACTAACAAAACTGAGTCACATTCAGGGATGCTAACAAGCTTCTTGCCTATAGCTGTTGGCTCATAGTCACTGGGTTACAGAGACCTATTTGTAAGCATCTGAACTTACTTTGAAGGCCATGGGTATTTCAATGATGTAAAGGTCCACATAATCAAGCTTGAGGATACTGAGTGTCCTCTCCAGGGTTGGCTGCACCATCGCTGGGTCTTGGTGTGTAGCCCACAGCTGAAAGAATCAAAGGGGGAGAATTAGCTTATTTATATACAATATTACAGCTCTTTTTCTTTGTAAAGCATTAATCTACATCTTATTCACTCATTTCACAAAAGTATGCTTATGCTGCAGCATCATTTGAATATCAAAGGAGTTGATAAAGATTCTTGATATCCAAGTAAAACTACCCAAATATAGTACAAGAGATATCAATATCTACTTGACCACAGAATGCACAACTCAAGGACAAAGTCTTCCCCTGACCCATGATAATTTCCTAGTTGGCCCTTAGCATGTTCATTTTTCCTCTTATGAAACTAGGGAACATGCATCTAGCAGATATCCTGACCTAGCCTGTCACCTCATTTTCCTGCCACTATGACAAAATACATGTTACAAATTTGCAAAGGATATGGTTATGTGTAGTTTCAAGGAATCCTTCACCTTAGAACAGGGGTACAGAAGAGTGGTGAAATGTTAAATTATTGCATACATTTAAGTTCCTTTTCCTGCTCTTTTGTTCTCATTTGCTTCTTCTCAGACTCCAGGCAATTCTGTTAGTTTATATTTTGAATCTGCTTTATTACCATAGTGTTACATAATGAATATTAAGGCTTGGTTTTCATCCTGAAATAGGTGAGCCTTAGATGTATAAAATGTATGGTGCCATGGGATACCCAGACTAATCCTTCTTCCTCTAAAAGCACAGTGAAGAGAAACTCAATGTGGAGACAGCAGTGGAAAATGTTTTTTGTTATCAATGTGGCCTATTTGATGTTGCTGTTATCATTCTATCTAAGTGCAAACTCTTATTTTCCATAAGATACATTTATTAGTTTTCTGACCAAAGTGCAATGATTTCCATTGTTTCTTAAACGAATAGCCAAGGAAAAAATATTCAAGAAAATAAAATACAAGTAAGAACTTCAACTATTAGATTCATTCTTCTAATTTACCCTAAACATCCACTTAGTCTAATAACGTAACAAAAACTTTGCAATGTTAAGCAAAATGTGAACAGAATAATTTTCATTGTTACACTGTTGGGAACTTTGTTAATGTCAGTTCCATGATGAATAACATGCAATGAAGAACACACAAAATTCCTGTCATGAGATGTGATCCTTGTCCCCCACACTCAGATGATGTCCAAATAAAGTTGAAAGTTCTGCCAGCCTTTGAACCTCTAATTCTCCCTACAGAAACCTTGGAAGTAAGGAATGTGCCCTGTCCTACAGCTATGTACAAGTTGTAGTAAAACAAACCTAAGCTTCTGGGGTCAGCATTGTGGCATAGCAGGTTAAGCCACTGCCTGCAGCACCGCATCCATATGGATGCCTGTACAAGACCCAGCTGCTCCACTTTTGATCCAGCTCCCTGCTGATGTGCCTGAGAAAGCAATGAAGGATGGCTCCAATGTTTGGTACCTGCACTCAATTGGGAGACCAGGAGGAATCTCCTGGCTCCTGGCTTCTGGCTTTGGTCTGGCTCAGTCCTGTTTAGCCATTTGGGGAGTGAACCAGTGGATGGAAGATATCTCTCTCTCTCTCTCTCTCTCTCTCTCTCCCCCTGTATAACTCTGCCTTTCAAATAAAATAAATCTTAAAAAAAAAAATGATGGATCCAAGATGGCTGAATAGGGTATAGCCACACTTAAGCTGCTCTGGGATATAAAAAGAATAAAGGAAGGACTATGTTTACAGGGATCTGACTGATGAAAATTTTGGTGAAGCAAAAAAAAAAAAAAAAAGACTCCAGGACAAGAAGAGAGAGACAGACACTGCTGCTGCCAGCCATGTGGTACCGTCAGCTGCCAGCTGTGAGCCACCACCTTCCCAAGCCAAGGTAGGAAGTCATTGCCACATGCCCTGCCGCTTGCAGTTTTAGGAAAGAAGAAATTCCCCAGCCACCCACTGACTTTCACTTCAGCCTGCAGAGCTGACTGGGGTCTGAGCAACTTCCGGGCTTGGAGCAAGGAAGCTGTACTGCTTTCCTTTTCTCCCCTTCTCCACCCATGCAGAGCACCTTACTCAGCAGGGAAAAGCTGCACAGTGTGCCTCTTTTCTGCTCTTAGCAGCACCATAGTCAGAGTCAGGGCATCGTGCGGGGCAAAGGACAGATCCCTGCATCCTACAACTGTGGGAGACCCAGGGGAAGCTGCTGGCTCCTGGCTTTGGATCAGCTCAGCTCCGGCTGTTGTGGCCAATCAGGGAGTGAACCAGTGGATGGAAGACCTCTCTCTCTCTCTCTCTCCCTCTCACTGTCTGTAATTCTACCTCTCAAATAAATAAAATAAAAAGAAAAAAGAAATGTTTAAAATTAAAGATCTAATGATGCATCCTGAACACTTAGAAAAACAAGAACAAATGAAACTCCAAATCAGCAGGAGGCAAGTATCACAGCAGAAATAGATGAAATTGAAATAAATAAAAAGTTCAACAAAACAAAAAAGGGTTTTCTTGAGAAGATAAGTAGGTAAATCCCCAGCCAGACTAACAAAGAAAAAAGAGACAAAACTCAAATTAATAAAATTAGAGATGAAAAAGAAGATATTACAACCAATACCACTGAAATATAAAGGATCATAAGGAAAATACTAAAAAGAACTCTATGCTAATAAAGAGGGGGGGGAGGAGGAGAAGGAGGGGGAGGAGGAGGAATAGGAGGAGGAGGAAGAGGAGGAGGAGGAAGAGGAGGAGGAGGAAGAGGAGGAGGAGGAAGAGGAGGAGGAAGAGGAGGAAGAGGAGGAAGAGGAGGAAGAGGAGGAGGAGGGGGAGGAAGAGGGGAAGGAGAGGAAGACGAGGAGGGGGAGGAGGAAGAGGGAGAAGAGGAGGAGGAAGAGGAAGAGGAGGAGGAAGAGGAAGAGGAGGAGGAAGAGGAGGAGAAGGAAGAGGAGGAGGAGAAGGAAGAGGAGGAGGGAGGGGAGGATGAGGGGCAGGAGGAGGAAAAAGAGGAAGAGGAGGAGGAGAAGGAAGAGGAGGAGGAGAAGGAAGAGGAGGAGGGAGGGGAGGAGGAGGAGGGGGAGGATGAGGAGGAAGAGGAAGAAGAAATATTTTCTATCTGGCCTTCCATAGAAAATTTCCTAGCTGTGATTTCATAATATAAGAACAAATGGAGTAAAATATGTTCTCATCACCTAACAAGAAAATAACCACAGCAAATTAACTCTATCTTTTGTGCACAGATCATCATAGGAGGTAGTATCAGTTACATAGTATTGAAAATGAAGGTATGACTCAGAGAAATCAATATTTCGAATAGCATGTGGCAAGTTCAAACATAGGGCATATGATTTTAAATCATATATCAAGTGGCCTCAAAGGTCATTTTCTTTCTAGTCTGTCAGATTTTCTGATTTGTAACATGGTATTCAATCAACAAACATTGAATGTTTTCATGGAGCCCAATGGGTTTGAAGTAGTAGCAGTTTATGAATAGTGGGTACATAAACTTCATCAAGTCTGTACAGCTAGGAAATACAGTATCCATGATTTTAACTTAAGAGGTCTGTCCAGATACTACTAAGACTGCTATACCTAGGGTGTTAGGCAACTGGCGCAGGGATAGTCTCTTATCTGTGCCGCAATCTACATTCTATGCCCCGGTACCAGCCGCCATTACTGAAAGCCAGGTAGCCACATGGCCCAAATCACCTGTGCCTAGCTCCACCCTCAACCTAATGGGATTGGCTAATTCCTACCTCACTGCCCACCCCCTGGAAAAACTATATTAGACCCCCATTCCAGACACGCACCCCCTTTTTTCCTTCGCCACCCCTTCACTCCGGTCTGTAGGTTGCTCCCCAATAAACCCTCTCCCTTACTCCGGTGTCCGGTGTGCTTTGCGACAGCTAACATTAAGATATAACATTGGGGCCGTGACTCGGATAGCCTTATATTGGTAATCCAGCATCTTCCAGTGCTCTGGGGTCCTGGATTTTTGCCAGTTGTGAAGCACATCTCCGGAACTCTTTCCAAGCCACCAATCGCTCCGCGACCTCCATCCACACATTGGCCTTCCAAATTTTGAGGTAAGACACGGGATGAAAATTCCTCACGGCGAGTGCTATTTGAGTGGTGGTCTACTGTCGAATACTCGCCTGACTACTCTCGTAAAGGTCATAGCACTGAACTCTAGCCACCACTCCTACTTCTACTTAAGGCCTTTAGCCTCTATGGACACTGTGTCCAGGCAACAGTGGGTGTGAGTGACGACTCCATCTCTGTTCGCCTCTCTACAGGCTAGGCCCTGGGCTCCAGTGGGCGCTTGGGTGACAACCCCGCCTTCTGCTCCCATTCCTCTCCTAGTCAGACGGCCAGGACTTCAAGGACGCTTGCTGTCCACTGATCTGACCTACTGAGTCGCCATGGGAAATTCCTCCTCCCGCGTTCCATCTGATTCTCCTCTTGGTTGTCTTTTAAGTAATATGGTCCCTCTCAAATTGGCCCCAGCCCTCAAGCAGAGACGCCTAATCTTTCTCTGTAATCGGGTGTGGCCCAAGTATGACCTTGACAGCCAACTGGGATGGCCTCTCCACGGTACCTTTGACCCTGATATCATTCAGGACCTTTATCACTTCTGTGAGCATTCGGGAAAATGGAGGGAGATTCCATACGTTCAAGCCTTTTCCTATCTTCGAACTAAACCTTCCCTGTGTACTTCTTGCTCTCCCGCTCAGGTCCTTCTGGTCTCCAAGACTCCCACTCGGGGTCAGAGGCCTGAGCAGAAAATCTCGTTCCCTATCTCTAACCTCCTTTGATCCTGCAGACGAACCTCCCCCGTATCGCTCCAATCTACAGGCACCGACTCAGCCGCCTCCTGAGGCCTCAGCGGCTGAAGTTCCAGCGCCATTATCTCCCACGCAGCAGATGCAGAGTCCACCATCGGCTCCAGCCCTGGCTGCGTCCTCACCTCCCCCTCCCACCGAATTCCAGGGGGTGGGGTCAGCCACTGCTCCCACCTTCACTGCAATCTCTTCCATTTTATCGAAAGCCTCTTGCTTATCTATTCCT